ATTCCCTATTTATACAAATGTTACACTCAATAACATTATGATCACTGTTCCCAAGCGGTGCAATCACTTTTACATCTCTCACCAGGTCTTGAGTGTTACTTAGGACCAAATCAAGGATCGCCTCTCCCCTGGTAGGTTCCGTGACCATCTGCTCCATAGCACAGTCATTAAGAGTCTCTAGAAACTCAATCTCTAAAACATGATCTAAAACAGGAGATTCCAATGAAGGGGAAACTATAAAATAGTCAATTACACTGCAGCCCTTTGTTGAGACAGATATATATTCTCCAGATTTGGGAAAGTTGGTAAGCCCATTCAGCCAAACTTTATTAAACTGAAGACAAAGTTAAACTGAATTAAATTGAAGACAAAGTTAAATTGAAGACAAAGTTTAGCGAGATAGATGCCTGCCGAGTTTATATGGCAATCTTTGGAGTACCTTGTACCTTGTAGATGTGAAAATAGGTGGGAGTGTATCCTCCTGATTAATTTCTATAGCCTTAAAGAATATTTTATGATCACTGCCTACTCTAGCACTAAAATCACCTGCCAGAATTATTTCAGCCAAGGGATGTTCTTAGTCGTTTCCAATGTTGAGAAAGAGTTAATCTGTCTAAGGAGTTGGGAACATATATATATTCACAATAATCAAAGTAAGGTTATCAAGGACAAGCTTAATAGCCTGCTCAGTGGGGCTATCCAATTGTAACATAATGATTTCTACTTTTAAATATAAAGAAACAAACAGAGCCAAACCCACTTGAAAGCGACCTGTAGGGTTAATCCTATACCCTGGGAAAGAAAAGGATTTATACCCCTCAATCTGAATCTGATTTGGCGACCAGGTTTCCTGAAGGAGTATAATATCAAAATCATTAAGGTATCCTCTTGTAACATTAGAGGGCAGGATGGACTTTACAGGCCAATGTGTCAGGGGGCAGTTTGACCAGTCTGAGTTCAGTGTGGCTGAAGACTCCTCATGAGGAGCCACATGCAGCCAGCTCTGAACCAGCTAAAGTTAGTGAATTAGAGATACAGGAGCCTCAAGATTCATTGCCGACAGAGGACCTTGACCCACACACAGCTCTGAAGCACCTGCAGGAAAGTAGCCAATCAGGCTCCCCCTCATTAACTGAACAGCAAAGGGAAAAGCTCCGACAAGACTTAAGGACACGCAGACAGAGTGCTCGCCTCTTGGCTCAGCACTAGCTGCTCAATGTTAGCAGTTCTGAGTAACTGCAGGAGCACCTCTGAGCAGATGGCTTTAAATCAGGCTTGTTAAGGAATGCCTATATAAATCAGACCTGGAGAACTGCAGATTGTGGAAACAGCTTGTCACAACCCTATGAACTTTGTGACCACAACTCTGGACTCTGCCTGCCTCCTGTGAGATTTGGCCTGACCATCAACTCTGCTTTTTGGACCTGCCTGAACCTTGCTGATCACCGACCTCAGACTGCCTTTGACTCTGCTTTCCTGAACAACCCATGAACTCTGACTGCTGCTAAACTGGTATTTGATCTCTAGACTGGACTCTTTACTGTGATCTAGCTCTGTTGCCTAACTCTGCCTGTATTCCAGGACACAATGATCTCAAATGGTTATAAGAGAAAATGAACAGAGACAACAGCTCTGAAACAATTTGAAACTGACCCAAGGTCAAAACAGCAGCTGCATGTGGATGAGTGGGGAATCAAACCCGGTCCATCCCAGATTAGAGTCTTAACCACTACACCAAGCTGGTAAAAACTACAAACTGAAAAAGCAAACTGTATCTTGATCTGCTGAGAAAACACCTGTTTTTCTCTTAATGTCTGGGCTGGGCTGCAAAACAAAACTAAGTTGCCTATGGAACACCTCTATGGAACAACTGAAGCTACCGTGCAGAGGTTTTGAGACGGAAGGTAACAGGGTCAGCTGCCCAAGGTCCCAGGGCCAATTCAGACTGGCAACGGAGATGGGGAAACCCAAGCTGCCAGCCTATGGGCAAAAGACACAGAGAAACTGGACAAATCTTGTCAATGGGAATTGTTGGCAGACCACACTGGGGAGGACTTACTCGCAGCTGGCTATGGAGTCTCAAAGTGGCTCTCTGAGGAAACTACCACTTCAGTTCCCTTATTATTACGCTCCTCTGACCAGAAAAGAGAGGAACGTAATAATAAAGCAATAATAAAGTAATAATGATAATAAAGCAAAGTCAATACAGACACAAGATAAAACACAAAGCAGTAAACATTAAAATACAGCAAGGCCAATTAAAACGCATCTCTATAGCGGGATAAAGAAGCAGCAATTGCTACGAATTTGGCAACAGAATGTGTTATTTCCAGAGATTCAACAGTGAGTTGATATTTACTCAGGACAGGTGTAATCTAGAGGTCTTCGAGGGGTGTCCATCAATCACAGAATAAGATGAGGTGATCTATGCGCTCTATTACCCCACATGCACAGCAGCAGTAGCTGGCTTCTCTACAAGGTTAAACCCACAGGCCCCATGCTACATTCCCTTTGTTGGGGTGGAGTGGGGGGGAACCCAAGAAGGCTGTAAAGCTAGAGGTGAAAATTCACCACTTGCCCAGATTTCCAAGACACCCAAGAATTTCTCAGAGAAACAACACACATTTTAGCTGCCTATAATTTATTTATTTTTTTAAGAAAGGGGGGGAGGAACCCTTAACCACAAGGATCAATGAAAACGAGGAAACTATTTTAACATCAAGTGTCCCTGTTTCCACAATTATGGTGAAAGGTACCTCTAATTCCCTTTTACAAAACAATGCGGTTTTCTTTTCAAATTGGTCATTTCCGAGCACTTGGTAAGTACTTCCATAAGGCTGGGCTGGAAAGCAATTCCGTTTGGGAGATGTGGCAGAGTTTTGACTGTGACAGCTGATGTGTTAAAAATGAACAAAGTCTAAAAATTCTGCACTATAGTTCTGGACCTACGAAGAATGAATTCTGATTTTCTCAGAGGGCAGCTATGTTGGTCTGCAGTAGGACAGCTAGATTCCAGTCCAGTAGGACCTTAAAGACCAACAAGAGTTTCAGGGTATGAGCTTTTGACAGTGTAGTGGTTAAGTGCGCGGACTCTAATCTGGGAGAACCGGGTTTGCTTCCCAACTCATCCAATTGCAGCTGCTGGATGACCTTGGGCAAGCCATAGTTCTGTCAGAGCTATTCTTGAAAAAGAGCAGTTTCTGTCAGAGTTCTCTCAGCCCCACCCACCTCACAGGGTGTCTGTTGTGGGGAGGGGAAGGGAAAGGAGTTTGTAAGCCGCTCTGAGACTCCGAGTGAAGGGCGGGGTATAAATCCAGTCTCTTCTCCTACCATGTCTGAGGAAGGGAGCTTTGACTGTCAAAAGGTCACACTCTGAAACTCTTGTTGGTCTCATTATTTATTATTATTATTATTATTATTATTATTATTATTATTATTATTATTATTTTGATTTCTATACCGCCCTAACCCTCCCCCCCCATGGGGGTCTCTGGGCGGTTTACAATTTTAGAAGTGCTAATCACATGTTACTTCCCTAACTACGGCCACATTCTCAGAGGGGTTGGGACAGCCTACCAGCACCCAGGTGGTGACAGCTCTTTCTTCCGGCTTCCGGCCTCTTCGGCTTTAGGTGTCTCTCTAGTCCTCCAGTCCAGCGGGACGTCTCCTTGTGGTGCTTCCGGCGGATAGCTGTTTTCGACGTGCGAATCCGCTCTCCTTTGGCCCCGGCTATGTCCAGTAGGCTCCGCCGCGTCGGGAGATGACATCTTCCCGCGCCTCTTTCGCTGCTGGCGACGGCCGCTTCTGATGTTTCACCGCTGGCCACCAGGGATCACTCTTCTGGCTTCTGTCGCCGCACCACATCGTCTCCGCTGCCAGGATTCCGCCGTCATCTCGCCATTACCGCTGTTCTTCCGCCGCACACCACACACCTCAGGAGAGGAGGGTACCCCCTACCCTAGTAAGGGTAGGTCCCCATTTATCTACTCGCCCTTTAACGGGCTTTCGAACCGCTGGGTGGGCGGGAGCTGGGACGTAGGCCGGGAGCTCACTCCGGCCACGGTGGGGCTCGAACAGCTGTTTGGCCAGATGTTAATGCAGGCTGCATTTACCGCCTGCGCCACCACTCCCTGGGCTCCCTGCTACTGGACTCAAATCTAACTGTTCTACTGCAGACCAACATAGCTACCCTCTGGAACTGATTTCAAAGCCACTAATCGTATACGGAGAGCCCAGTGTGATGGTAAAACACAACATGGACAACAGCTTCTGATTTTAAAGCCACTAATCATAAAGTGAGGGCCAGTGTGCTGCATCGGTTAGCGTGTTAAGACTAGGACCCAGGCAGGTCTGGGTTCAAATTCCCCACTTATCCATGAAATTCACTAGTCTTCCTCCCGTACCATCCCAAAACGCCACCCGTAATACTGCTCCTGGGTTTCCCCCATCGCTTAGGAGCTGCAAGGTGGGTGTAATTTGGGCTGCCACAGGAGGGAGGAGGCAGGGAAGTCACACTTCTGTGCTTTGTTCTTTCCAAGGAGATCAAACCCAATGGTCATAATCCAGAGACCAATTTTTATACCCTCTTATATGATATTTCTTGTAATAGCAGATGAACCCCCCGCACTGTCACAGAAACTATTTTTGAAATTCCCACAAGCTACAAAATGTGATTACCGTATTGCAGGTGTACTATGTATGTTCTTATTTTGGTTTTAAGAGGTGTTTTTTGGAGGAGGCAAATTAAGCCCATGAGCTCTAGAAAACCAGCAGCCTGGAGAACTCACAACAACTATTTGTGTAGGACAGAAATTGTCCTGTTGTTCCATTTGGAAGCTACCCTTGCGGGAGTCAGTTCTACCTTTCCTTGCAGGAAACATCAAGGGCTCAGATCTGACCCAGGTTCAACAGGATAGCTGGGTCAGACTCTGAGAAAGCTCCACGGAAGTCTCTGAACCCGTGAAGGCATTTAACAGAAGGGCAATGTGGTCACCTCTCACCTTTGCGAGACAGAAGCATGCCATTATTCTCACTCGGTAGAAACACTGCTCTTGTTCAAGGATATCGGTCAGCGCGAGCCGGGATGCCGGAGTGGGGAACTTCTGAAGGGCCAAAATGGATTCCTCCTGGGCGACCACGTCTCTCTCGTACCGGAGCTGGTACTGCCACATGAAGTCAGCCTGTTCAAATTCTACCTTCCTTAATACAGACATGTCTGGGTCTATCCTTATCCAGAGCAAAGGGGAGTCAGCACTGAAAAAGAGAAGAGCAAAATTTAAGCTGCGGCTTTAAATATAGCTAGGAGCTGCAGTGGCTCAAGTGGTTAAGACGCTGAACTGCAGGCTGTAGAAGGTCAATAGTTCAGCAGTTAGAGACCTGAGTGTGCCGCATGATGGAGTGAGCTCCCATCTCTAGTTCCCGCTCCTGCCAACCTAGCAGTTCGAAAGCAAGAAATTGCAAGTAGATAAATAGGTACCACTTCGGTGGGAAGGTAACAGCGTTCCGGGCGCCTTGGTGTTTAGTCATGCCGGCCACATGACCACGGAAACGTCTTCGGACAGCGCTGGCTCTTCGGCGTTTGAAACGGAGATGAGCACCGCAACCCTAGAGTTGGATTCGACTGGCTTTCGAGCAAGGGAAACTTTACCTTTACCTTAAATGTAGCAGAGACATGCAGACCAACAATAATGATTTAATGTGGGGTGACTAGGTAGCCCTAAACTCAAAACCTCTTGTTTTCTAGATGCACAAGGCTACACTTTTACTCCTGGGACAAGCTTTTAACTGCAGCCATGTGCTTTCGGGGGTGGAGCCTTCCCGAAGTATTTCTATACCAGAGCCCTCTTGTGGAAATCATTAGCCTACACTGCTCTTGACCTGACAGAAGTATATGTGTACAAGGAATGGGACTGGAACAGATTAGTCAAAAGGTCAGGCAATCTGTGGAGGGCAGATTTATCAGTAGTTATTAGGATGGCCAGCTCCAGGTTGGGAAATACCAGATTTTGGGGGTGGAGCCTGAGGAGGACAGCCTTTGGGGAGGGAAGGGACTTCAATGTGGTGTAACGCCATAGAGCAGTGGTGGCGAGCCTATGGCACGGGTGCCAGAGGTGGCACTCAGAGCCCTCTCAGTGGGCACGCGTGCCGTCACCCCAGCCAGGCCCAGACCATCATTAAAGTGTCGAATTCTCCGCCAAATAGTTTTAAGTAAATGAAAGCATTTGGGATTGCTTTCCTTACTATATTTGGATCATCTTAAGTTAATGTATGAGTTGTTTTTTCTAAAGTAAAACCGCAGTATTCAGGTTAAATTGCTGTGTTGGCACTTTGCGATAAATAAGTGGGTTTGGGGGCGCAGTTTGGGCACTCGGCCTCTAAAAGGCTCGCCATCACTGCCATAGAGTCTACCTTACATAGTGGCCATTTCCTCCAGGTGACCTGACCTCTGTCGCCTGAAGATCAATTGTAATCCAGAAGGACTCCAGCCACCACCTGGAAGCTGGCAAGCCTAGTGGTTATTTGCCATAGCAACATTAAAAACAAACACCCTCCGTCTTCAAAGGCTACTGACTAGCCAACACGGGGACAAGCAGCAGCAGGCGCCAATTTTCACCACAGCCTGCCTGTGACTATCAGGTTTACCATGCTGGAGATTGCTCTGGCAGGCCAGTTCTTGCGCACTTTCCTTCTTATCTATTTACAACATTTATCTCCCACCTTTCTGCCTTCACCATCAAGGTGGCTAACACGTTAAAACATGCATGATAAAGTCACATTTCCCCACTATTAAAATCAACCCCCCCCCCAACACATATCTTTAAAACAAATTAAAAACAAAAATGGCACAACCCCCCCCCCCCAACAGTTAAAACATTGATCGGGAAGGAGAGATCACCGAGGGAATGCCAAACGAACCTCGGATGCTGAAGGGAGAGAGACCGAAACAGACCGATGGGACATGCTGAATGTGAGGCTTTTTCAGACCGAGGGACCAGGTGAGGCGCTTAACTGGCTGAACTCAGTTGTGTGCACACCCTTGCAGAGAGACACCTCCTGGCCATCTGACGGCTGGTGGCTGACCCTCTGACTAGCCAGCTGCCCAGTGGCCTTAGGCGGTGGGACGGAGGAGACAAGCCACACCTCAGGCAGGGAGCTTCCTGCAATCTCTCGCGCAGGTTACCTCTCCTCATGCCCAGGGTCCCCCTTGTAAAGGAGGCTACAGGGCCCTAACCTGGCAAGACCCCATAAAGCGATGGAGGCCCAGGAGGATGGCCCAGCTTCAGTTTTCAATTACTAGAGAGGAAAAGGTCACAGGTGAGCCAGATGCCCCTACCTTCTGGGGCCTGAGAAAGGCCCACAATTGTACTCAGGCCCACCCTGCAAAATTCCTACACGGAAGGAACTTCAGTGGAGAGATAATGAGAAACCTTTGTGTAGATCAATGTGACAGATGAAGCCATACGTGCCAGAGAGCTTCTCGCCATTTACAAACATTCAGTTTATAAAACTGTATGTTATTGTTTTAATCTGGCACACAGTGCCCTTGTTAGCCGCCCTAAGCCTTCGGGGTAGGGTGGGATACAAATGTAAATATAAATAAATAAATAAATAACATCAAAACGTGGCTTGGGGACTAAAGTACACGTGTAGGCTCATGTCTCTGATAGTTTGCCATGCTTAAATCAGCAAGCCGCAGTTAGTGCCTCGCTTCCAACCAGCATTTGAAACCCAAGTTTGCTTATCTAAGTTTGCCAGTTTAAATATCACAAAAAACTAAATTTGCCATTTTGATTAATCTCCCTTTCCCGCTGCAGCCTCCCCTCAGGGCCCCCCCCCCATCTCCCACGAGCAGCATTCTGCCCAGGTCAGTGGGCTGCAGTGGAAGGGGAATGCCAGGGAAGTTCCATTCTTCTATGGGCAAAGTTAGTCTGGACCCAACCCTATGGTTAGCATAACCCAAAAATAAACAGAAAGCAGAAGCGGGAACCATATATGGGTGGAGCCATGGCTCTCTGGTATGCAGAATGCCCCAGGTTTAACCCCTAGCACCCCCAATTTAAAGTATCAGGTAGTTGGTGTTGTGTGAGAACCGGGAGAGCCACTGCCAGCCAGAGCAGACAGTCCTGACCTTAACAGACCAAAGTGCAAGGCAGCTTCATGTGTGTTCACGCAAAACAATATATGGTCGCACATACACAACACACAATCTGCAATTTGCATGTGATGTTTTTAAAGAAACACCTTCGACACAGCATTCTTGTAAAACTCGGTGTCGCGATGGTTAGTGGCATACACAGATAACCACCACATGATCCTTTTAAAGTACATTTAGCTGAGGCTTCACACTCAAGACACCAGGAGTTAACAGCTCTGTTCTTGCAGAACAGAAGGAAAGCAGCCAACCACAGGACAAGATGGCTGATAAAGTGGCAAATTCTTCTGAATAATAAAAAAAAAGTGTTCAGGCCAGCTCAAAGGACAGTTACTGGCTTACAACTATGTACAGTTCTAGAAAAAGGACGCAAGAGTGTCGGTCACAGAGTGCAAATGACGTGGGTGCTCATGGGACTCTGGATGGAGCTCATGGCGCCTCCAAGGAAGGGCGATGGGAGAGGAAGCAGATGAAAATGAGTTCAGCCAGTGGAAGCCACAGCTAGGATTCAAGCACTGTCATGATACTATTATTATGTGGAAAGCATAAGATCTACAATCCTACGAGCACTGCAGAAGGCAGACGGCTACACCTCCAGAACACTTCTTCCATGTGCATCACACACCTTTCTGGTAAGCAAGAGAAAGGAAGTACCTCCTAGCAGGTACTGGGGCTGGGGGGGGGGGAGAAGTCTTGCAGTTTCCATATCCAGACTGCTGCTGCTGGATTGGGGCCAGTATCATTCAATCTCCCTCCCTTAAAGCAACCTAATACAACGCAGGAAGAGAGACAATATCTTTGTTTCCATGAAATAACTTACTCCATGGCAGAAAGATCCATGTCTACTTCCTCTCCATTCATTAGCGGAATCTTTTTCTTCTTATTCCTGTTTTTTTAAAAAAAAATAATAAAAGAAAGCCAAACATATATATTAATTTATTTTCTGAACTCAGCAAGCACAGATTAAATAATGTTTCAATAAATCACATTATGAAGAAGGTTAAGTCTGAATCATTGAGACTTCATTTAACCAGGACAGATATCCCAGATTGTTTCTGTCAATGATCCTTCAGAGATTCATGGCCTCCTCCCTTCTAGAGAGAGAGAGCACTTCCCATGGGTGCATCCTCAAGCAACGCAGATTATGGTTACTGCTTAGAAATGTTTAACCACCCTATTGTATCAATAATTCTGATGGTTGGGAGTGACAGATAGGTATCCCCCCCTATTCTTTAAAAAACAAAACACCGTTATCCCTATAATAATAAACTGCTGTCAAGTTGGAAGTGATTCATGGTGACCCTTCATGGGAATTTCTTTGGGGGGGGGGGAGGTATTCGTGCACGCATCCGGGTGCATGTGCTTTCATGCCTGGAAGTCATGGTGACTTCTGGTGACCCCTAGTGGGGTGTTTTAGACATTTCGGAGAGGTGGCTTGATTCCCTGCCTCTGTGTCCCGAGCCCTGGCATTCCTTGGAAGTCTCCCTTCTGATTACTTGCCAGCTTATCTTCCAAGACCTGACGAGACCGGGCTTGCCTGGGATATCCAGGTTGGGGCCCCTCGTGGGGTTTTCAAGGCAAGAAATGAGCAGAGGTGGTGGTCTATCATTGCCTCCCTCTGCACAGCAACCCTGGTCTTCGTTGGCCGTCTCCCAAACACAGCCAACCCTGCTTAGCTTCCAAGCGCTGATGAGCTCATGCTAGTCAGGCTACTGCTGTCCCTATAACAGGGAATCAAACGCACATTTGCGACTGAGGAAGCAGGGGGTGGGGCTTCATCATGTGCCCCGCCCCCCTGCACCTCACCCGGGGGAACTGCGTTCCCCCGCGTTCCCCCCCGAAATGACCTCTGCACGGAGGCCACCACAGGGCTGCTCCTTTCCAACCCACCATAGTAACATTAGGAGCCCCAGTGCTCATGGGGAGGAGGCCATGTATTTATTTATTATTTTAATTTATACCCTGCCCTCCCCGCAAGCAGGCTTAGGGCGGCTTACGCTAATTGGAAGTGTAAGCCATCTTACACTTGTTGCAACGTCTTCACTACGACCCCACTACCTCTTTCCACATGGCTTCCTCACACATGACAGGGTGGATGAAGGAATGGACAGGGGTGTGGTGAATCCCACAAAAACTGATGTGACAATAAAGGGAACCAAGGCAGTGGAAGTGGGATATGGTTGTTATTCTAGTTTAAATGCTTCATAAAGATGCTCTTACAAATGGTCAAACGTTGACCCTACCGTCTGCTCTTTGAGTGGCAAGGTATGTCATGCTTAAGGCTGTTTTCTTCTATTTGCAGAGTATGGTTGAAAGATCCGTCGAGCTCTTGCACCGTCACTTTCAGAGGGCCCTTGGAAGAGATTGATTTACCATTACCAGAACATGAAGGAGGAAGAAAAAGATAAAAGTTTTTATACCTCACTTTTCTCTAGAGTGGCTTACAATCCCCTTCCCTTCCTCTCCCCGCAACGGGCACTTTGTGAGGTAGGTGGGGCTGAGAGAGTCCTGAGAGAGCTGCGACCGGCCCAGGGTCACCATCCAGGCTTCCATGTTGGAGGAGTGGGGAATCAACCCCCATTCTCCAGTTACAGTCCCCCGCTCTTAACCACTACGCCATGCTGGCCCCCTCCATACAAACACTAGATACGATTTCATAGAAAGTGGGCATGATCTGTTTCCAACATGTGTAACCTGAACTAACCTCAAAGCACCTTTTCCTTTTCACACAATCACTCTGTGAAGTAGGTTAGGTGAAGAGAACGGGGTTTGCCCGGATCCATCCTGTGACCTCCAAGGCTGATCCAAACACAAGATTCACATGCCTGTACAATACTCAAGCCACTATACTATCTCATCTCTCGTATGAGCTCCCTCTGGGCTCAACCATCTTTGGCACAACCCTATTACCCCCATCAATCTGTGTCAGAAACACACACACCCCCAACAAAACAGGCTTCGTATCTCCTTAGTTGCAGAGAGACATGATCACAAAAACATGAAGGAAGCAAGGAAACCATAAGTTTATTAAATTCTGTATCCACTCATCAGAGTTTTCAAGAGTTTATGCAAGGTTGCCTTTAGAATAACAACTGATAAGTTGAAAACATCAACTGGAATTCTGTCATCTGACTTCGATAAAAATTCTATTCAACATGTATTAATGTTAATGCAATAAAATATTTAAAGTAGCTGTAGGCTACTGACCCCCCACCCACTTGCCCTGCCCTGTTAATGGCTCGGGAGTTTCAAGAAGTTGCCCCCCTCCCTTTATTTAATGGTAGGAATATAACAAAAAGGCAAACTGGGTAGCAGATGGGTAAAAGGATTGACAAGTTTCACTAAAAACTTGGACTTACCACATATTTCTGAGTCCCAGGCGATGTATAGTCCTGCTTTATTTCTAATTCCAGCACATTTCGTTTCCTGTTAAACGCAAAACTTCCATAAAACTTTACCACGCTACTCTGATCTCTAATGAACAGAATAGGAAAACAGGCATTGTGTTCAGAAGCTACTTAAGTTCCTAAGCTTTGCTGAATCTGAACAGTAAGTGCCTACAGCACGTTAAGACTCCGTATTTACATTGGGCTTGTTCCGCAGAATTTCCCAATTGATTCAGTTTGTAATTTTGGCTTAGTATGAATGAAGGAGAATGTAACAAAGCACACTTTTACAGCCTTTACGGTAACAAAAGGTCACTGAATTTCTGGGTTTTATTTACTTATTTATTTGCACTTCAAATATTTAACAAGATGTGGCAGATGCTGATAAACTGATGTGATCAGAAACCCAGATCTGTAGACTCCCAGGGCTGGGTAAGACATGAGCGTACACTACACAATCACCGGCTTTGTATGAATGTGCTACCACAGGTAAACTTTCACCTCACCCACAGTGCTTTTTCAATAGGGTCGGCTCACGTGGTCAACTGCAAGTCATCAAGGATAAAGTTAGTGAGGATCTTCTCTCACATGGATAAAGTCACCTGGTCTATCTTCCCATGTCATAAAAGGGTGACTGGGTGGATCGGGGTCTACTCAGTGGGCACCAGGACCAGGGAACTCTGTTCCATGAGGACGTTGTTGTTCAGTCGCACAGTTGAGTCTGACTCTTCACGACCCCATGGACCACATCAACCAGGCCCTCCTGTCCTCCAGAGTTTGCTCAATTTCATGTTCATTGCATCAATAACGCTGTCTAACAATCTCACCTTTTGTCATCCCCTTCTTCTTTTACCTTCATGAGGTAAATTTACCTCCATGAGGATAATTCTTGACTAATCACTCCTTGCTCTGAGAGGGTTGATGAAATCACCCTAATCTTTGAAGTCTTCCTGTTGAGTGGATTTGGTTATAAACTGATTACACGTTCATAACTATTTAATTAATATCTCTTTGATGTTTCTTTCCCTCAAAGCTGGGCTTCTTTTCATTGTTTATTTGTTTCTAGGCTGTTTTTTTTCTATCAGCTTGCTTTGTTTTAGCTGACTTCCCTCACTGTTTTATGATTAGTGTAATTTAAACTGTAATTTTACCAATGTGACTGCTGGCTAAGAAACTGATATACCTCCATGCATGAAACGGTTTCTAGCGTTCTCACACTCTGTTCTGAAGAAGAAGAGAAGAGATTGGAATTATACCCAAAGGAGAGCAGTTTACAATCTCCTTCCCTTCCCTACAACAGACACCCTGTGAGGTAGGTGGGGCTGAGAGAGCTCTGAGAGAACTGCTCGAGAGAACAGTTCTGAGAAGTGTAGCTTGCCCAAAGTCACCCAGCAGATGCACGTGGAGAAGTGGGGAATCAAAGCCAGTTCTCAGAGATTGGAGTCTGCGTTCCTAACCACTACACCAAACTGGTTAGGTGCTGGAGAATGTACCAAGCCATGGCATTTTCCAGACAAGACTCGTGGTTCCGAAATTCCTTGCTACACAGTTTAGAAATAAATTCAACTCGAGTTGCTGTATGTTTCTCAGGGTGAGCACAACACAACAGACTGTTGTTACCTCTTCCACAGGAGGATTCACGGGAACCTAACTTACACAAAAGAGAGCTGGACCACTGCAACTGGAACAGATTTATAAACTTTAACAAACTCGCACAATCTCAAGGCAGCTTCATATGTTCCAGTGTGCTCATTTAACTGGGCCACAGAACAGCTACTTTTCATCTTGACTGTTAACCAGCCCAGAGCTAGAACAAAAAGGATACACCCACTGCTTTATTAATGGCTGGATGTCTTTGCCAGAGACGTTGGAGATGGATTTCAAAAACCCAGATGTGGAAACCAGCATCTGACTCCACATATGAGACTGGAACTTCTGGGATGAGGCGGTGCTGGCTAGACTCAACAGTTTGTTGAAAACCTACAAAGAAAAATTAGCCTCAGTCTGTGCTCAAAGCAGGCAAAGCGATCTTAAATCTTTTAAGAAATATTAAAGGCATTCAGATCATGCTATGCAAACAGAGTTCGTTTTAAAAACAAAGCCAGAGAGGACCCTAGGTGGTCCTTGCTGGCAGGGTGAGGAAGATTTCACACAACAACTCCTGGGAACAAACCTGGACATCAACTACTTTTGGACGGAGCCATGTATTAGAAAACACATCAGTTCAGCAGTGCCCCGTTGGGTCAGTACACGGCCTGCATAGTCAAACATTCTGCTGTCAGCCAGGTACCTCTGGGAGCTCACAGCACAGTATGCTCCAACATCCTGTATTCAGAGGTAGGCTGCCTTTGCACTTGGAGGTTTCATTTAGCTATCTTGACTAAGCACTGAAGAAGAAGAAGAGATTGGATTTATACCCTGCCCTTCACTCGGAGTCTCAGAGCAGCTTACAAACTCCTTTCCCTTCCCCTCCCCACAACAGACACCTTGTGAGGTAGGTGGGGCCGAGAGAGCTCTGACAGAAACTGCTCTTTCAAGAACAGCCCTGACAGCACTATGCCCTTTCAAGGACAGCTCTTGTCAGAACTATGGCTTGCCCAAGGTCATCCAGCAGCTGCAAGTGGAGGCGTGGGGAATCAAACCCGGTTCTCCCAGATTAGAGTCCACACATTTAACCACTACACCAAGCAACCCCCATTGCCCAACAGGTTCCTTACTTAATAATAGCAAAGCATGCTGCTGAGAGATTACAGTACCATCCTGTGCAGAGTTACTCCTGCACCCGATTGTACTGTATGATCGCTAAAACTGTTTCTCGTAGAGGGTGGGGAGAAAGAAGAGCTCGAGACAGGCAACAGATTGAATTGTTTAAGCCACTGGTGAGTACCCTTGTTTTTGTAAGCGATGGCCCGATTCCATGGCCTGCTAATTAAGGAGGAAACCTAGTTTTCCGGGTGTGGTTCCAACTGGCCCTAAGCCACATGGGTCAGTTATGCAAACAGCTAACCAGGCAAAGAGGTGCCTGTGTTCTCTAGGCTCCACAGGGTTGCTTTAGGGCAGCACAATGCATTTACATTAGCGAAGCGGTGAATGTTCAGGCCTGGCTAGGGAGACCATTTAACAAGTTCACGTATGCTGCTCCCTGCTCCAAGTTATCTGAAGGAAAGGCAGGGTACAAGTGTAATTAATAAATCTTTAATGGTTTGGGCCAGTGAAGATGTAAGGGTGGCTTTCTCTTGACCATAGTTAAGAGAGAAGAAGTCGGTTGTGGGACTCCCCCCCCCCATAAGAACATAAGAGAAGCCAGTGTTGGATCAGGCCAATGGCCCATCCAGTCCAACACTCTGTATCACAAAGTGGCCAAAAATACCAGGTGCCATCAGGAGGTCCATCAGTGGGGCCAGGACACTAGAAGCTCTCCCACTGTTGCCCCCCAAATACCAAGAGCACCATTTGCCACACAGTTCCTATCTATACCGTGTGGCTAATAGCCACTGTTGGATCTCTGCTCCACATGTTTACAATAGCCACTGATGGATCTCTACTCCACATGTTTATCTAACTCCCTCTTGCAGCCGTCCATGCTTGTGGCCGCCACCATCTCCTGTGGCAGTGAATTTCATGTACTAATCACTCTCTGGGTGAAGAAGTACTTCCTTTTATATGTTCTAACCCGACTGCTCAGCAATTTCATTGAGTACCCCCAACACGCCCTCCCTGGAACAAACATCCATCCTCTTGCCTCAGCCATGGTTAAGAGAGATCTTGACACTGATGCTCACCACAGGTAAATGCTGAACAAGTTCCCCCGTAACCAGGTTTGAAGCTAGTTAGCAATCTCTGCCTAAGGTGTTAACTTGGCTACCCTTCCCCATGAGTAAAGATGGCACCTTAATATCCCTCAACCACGGTTAGGTCGATAGGGGCAACTGGCTCAAGAAGGGAACCTATAAACCCCTGGTTGACTCAGAATTTCTTAACTATAATTCACAGTTTTTCATCGGTACCAGCCATTTACACAAAATGGGAACACACTGGTTTTGCTCACAGGGCTGGATCCAGCCAGCTTTTCAGCTGATCAAAAAGGACCACCAAAAATTGGCTAAGCTGGGGATCATTACACCAGCATGGACAAAAACCATGTGGGATGGGGTTGTGGTAAGGAGAGGAAGCGGGCAGGATTGCCTGGAAAAACTGGCTGGATCCAACCCATAGTCTGTTCATACTCCTCTCTTTTTTTACATCACATTTTATAGTTACGACACTTACACTGATTTTTTAAAAGGTCACAGTTAATGGAAAGGAAATAATCTTAAAGGTTACGTTAAGGTAACCAAAATGCATTTCATAGAGTGATCTATGTACTTACTTGTAACATGAATTCCATGCTTATCCTGTTTTCTATCAGCCTCATGACTAGGTGGGCCTTACACTGGAACATCGTGTAGTATTCCCATGATAAAGTATGAGGGTGTTTTATGGAAAAATGCAGATGTGATGAAGGGCTGGAAAATTAAATCAAGAACAATTCAGGTCCTTTGCATTTCATGACAAAACCCTACAATGCTTTGCAGCAGATCTGACAACATAAAAATTTAAATACAGTCAGATGAGATTCAGACACATACATACATATACATATACATATACATATATACATAGGGCTATTTTTGGGCAGGAACGCACAGGAACGGAGTTCCGGCTGGCTCCTGAGTTGGCCATGCCCAGCAGGAACTCATCAGCATAATAGGCCACACCCAACAGCAGAAACTCATTAGGATTGGCTACATTAGGGGTGTGTGGCCTAACATGCAAAGGAGTTCCTGCTCCAAAAAAAGCCCTGGGTTTTGCAACAAACAAGGTAAACAGAAGCAAAAGGTGGGTGTGGCTGGATGACCACACTTCTGTTAACATGGGTGTGTGGCCTAATATGCTAATGAGTTTCTGCTGTTGGGTGTGGCCTGCTATGCTAATGAGTTCCTGGTGGGCTTTTTCTACCATATATATATATATGAAAGCAAAAGCACAGTCCTGGAAGTATACTGTCAAATTTTAATGATGCAGATTTTGCGACAGACGCCCGGTGGCACCTTAAAGACTAACAACATTTCTTCCAGCATGAGCTTTTGTGAGCCAGAGCTTTCTTCCTCAGACTGAAGACCGTGCACTAGTGTGAACTTAGAATCAGACAGACACACCAAAGGAATATGAGGAACATTTCCCAACTCAATAGTAAACTGGTTGCCTTGATGTGGACGACAAAAGCTGTCCAACTTGTGTCAACCAATCCTTCCAGGGAGCTGGACTAGGATCTGGGAGACCCTGAACTGGACCACTGCTCTGCCACGGAAACGTGGCTGAGTGACCTTGGGCCAGTCACTCTCGCTGTCAGCAGGATGGCTGCTGTGAGGATAAAATGGACAACAAAAGGAGAACAATGACAGTCACTCTGGGTGCCCACTGGGGATAAAAGCAGGGTATGAATGAATAAAAATAAATTTCATATTAACTAATAATAATTAATAATTATTATGAGGCACTGTGTGTAGAATAGCCAGGAGAACCTGAGATTGTCTGGCTGCCACAAGTTCTAGCTCTTAGCGTTATGCTACTGATGAGCTAGACTTGTTTTTAGGGGCGGAGAGAGCTCTGAGAGAACTGTGACTGACCCAAGGTCACCCAGCTGGCTTCATATGGAGGAGTGGGGGAATCAAACCCGGTTCTCCAGATTAGAGTCCGCTGCTCTTAGCCACTACACCAAACTGGCTCTCTACCATATTAACTGACTTTGCATTATAAATATCTAGTATGTATTGCTCTCAAAATATAATGGACTTCAGGCCTATGACTTAGTATTTCAGCATCACTTAATGAGCAAGAAAAGGGTCTCCTTCACACACATCGACCAAAGTTTCATCACCAACTGCTGTGCTAATTAAAACTTGCAGACTTCCCTTTGGGGTGAGGTGCACCAGCAATTAACACAATATTTATTGTTGTAAAAATGGTGCAACTTAGTGTTGAAGTTGTTTTTCTTCACTTCACCAGCCAAACTGTTTACTTTACATTAGAAATTTTTTTTAGGATACATTACTAATGCACTTCCAATTTTACAGTTCAAAGAAAGATAATATTTACTGGGGGACAGCCTCTCTGGGACCACTGGGCAGCTGAAGCAATTAAGCCTTTGCTCAGTAACTATTTACTCACTAATTACTCATACATTAATGCTCCCCTTAAACCTACTCATTGCCCAACTAAACATACTTGTCTTTTTCTTTGCCTCCACCAAATATTGGATGCAGTAAGACTCCGCCAGTCTTCAGTTCATATGCCACTATCTTGTCTAGTTCCTGAAATGTACAATATATAAGCACTGAAAATGAGTATTTGATTGCACAAACACCAGGCCAGCTGTATGCAAATTCTTTGCTAGCAGCAAACTACCCAAATCAAGGTATATGAGCATTAAAAGCAAGAAAGCGTCTCTCATTAGATACAGTGACATGGACTCGTGTCCAATGAACCCTGAACAGAAGGGGGGTGGATTCCTCCCATATTGCTCTCCTCCTCCCACAGACCCTCCTGACCCTTGAAAAGATTACTTGTGGGGTCAAAGAACCTGTATGGATTAAGAGCCGGGGCTATTTTCAGGCAGGAACGCACAGGAACGGAGTTCCGGCTGGCTCCTGAGTTGGCCACGCCCAGCAGGAACTCATTAGCATAACAGGCCACACCCAAAGCAGGAACTCATTAGGACTGGCTACATTAGGAGTGTGTGGCCTAACATGCAAAGGGGTTCCTGCTACAAAAAAGGCCCTGGGTTTTGACAACAAGCAAGGTAAACAGAATAAGAAGTGAAAGGTGGGTGTGGCTGGATGACCACACTTCTGGTAACATGGGGGTGTAGCCTAATATGTTAATGTGCTGTGCTGTCAGGGTTGTGGCCTAATAGGCTAATGAGTTCCTGCTGTTGGGTGTGGCCTATTATGCTAATGAGTTCCTGCTGGGCTTTTTCTACAAAAAGAGCCCTGTTGGATGGAAGGGGTTGCAGTGATGAGGGGAAAGGGTGTCATGCCTGCCGTGACAGGGAATGAAAAGTGACACCTTTTGTCACTGAAGAGATTGAACTGCTGTTGGGAATGATGGACAACGATGTTCTCTGGGAGTGGCAAGACTATAATGTAATATTCCCACTGAAACATATGAAGCTGTTTAAGAAGAAAAAATGCAGATGGGGGATGCATGGCTACACAATTAAACCAAGATCATTTAAAAGCATTTTTTAATGGCAAAACGCATCACTTATTATTGATAGACTAGTAAAAGAACCAGATGGTTTGGGCTAATTAAAAAATAACACACTGGATAGAAGGATGTACAGCCTCCGTAATAGGCCTAGATTTACCACGGTAGTGAATTAGTGTTTGGATTGTACCACTTAAGACACCTCAGATGTTCTTCCATAGGGGAAAAAAAGCTCCACACTTAGAAAACTGTTATGTATGTGAGGAACCAAAAGCCAGTCTAGACCTGTGGCCCTACTTATTTATAGTTTTGAGTCCAAGAGTAAAATGCTAACTATATAACCTTTTTTTCCCCATGCTGGCTGTTGACACACACACTAAAAGAAGAGCATGGTAACAGTATTATTCCTTCCTCACAGAGGCAGTGATACAAGAACAGTAATGAACAAATTTAAGCCTATGAAGTGCATGGTCCTGATGAAACACTCAGATGCTACTCAGATCCATTCAACTCCACAAGCTACTACAGCACATTCTTTTAAGAACTGGTTAGATTCAGATGAGCAGTTTTCCCAACACTGTAGTGGAATCTGTGAGGAGGGTGATAGCCTGAAGAAATCTGCCATGTGACTGTCTCCAAGGCCCATTATACTTTAAGCAAGCTTAGACATCTCTCTCGACGCAAGCAACATTACACTGCACCCATTCCCGTAAACCAGGCCACCGGATGGTGGATTTTTAAAAAAATTATTTTTAATGAATTGTTTTTTAAAAAAACGAATGGTAGATTATTAACACACAGCTGGAGGTGGAAGAACCTGGTTATCCAAGCCCTAAAGAAGTGAGCAATCCAGGATGACAACATGTTGCCTTAAAGTTATAACTAGATAATGGTAGAACTCAGAGCAGCTTAATTATTAAGGCAGACCTCTCCGCCTGAGTACCGTGATATCGTTTTATTAAATATCTCCAGAATGGTGCTGACTTTCTTCCAAACCTTGGCCAATCTTCTGCAATAACTTCTCTTTAAAATGTGCAAGGGATACTGATAACTTTGTTCACTTTAATCTATCAAGAACCAGAAAGGTGCCTGGAGAGAAAGTGTTGCCACGGGGCAGCGCTTTACCACGTGCTCTGTTCCGTTTCCTTCCCCTGTGCATTAGTTTGATGCTGCCAGGTAGACTTGTTGTATTTGTGTAAGTATTTATGGCCTGTTGCTTTTTCATACTGTAAGCTGCTCTGAGTTGACAGGGTGGAGAAAAGCGGAGTAAAAGTATCCAAATAAATAGAAGAACAAACAAACAAATTAAGTGCATGGATGTTTTCAAAGAGCCATCCATCTGGACGTCTTACCTCCTTGATCCAGTGCCGATACTCATTTACGCCAAAGGTTTTCTTCATCCAAAGACCATAAATATAGCCAGAGATTCCCTTCAATACCCACTCATCGGACCTGAAAGCAAAAGAAGGAATAAAGACTCCATCTCATTTGATTCACAGAGCAGTGTAAACGCTGAAAACAGCAGTTCCTGTTTTATGCTTTCCTTAGAGCTACTATGTTAACAGCATCCTAACACATCTAAGTTTAAATAACAAAGTCTGACAAGCTGTGAATTGGATTGTGCGTGTGGGTGTGTCCCCTGGCCATAAGACACCAAAAAATCACAGAGCTACTAAAAAACCAAATGACACTGCTTCTGAAGCTCAAATATTACATTTGTGTTGGGTGGTAGAGAAGGAAGGTTGTTACATTCAAGACCGTAGCTGCCATAATATTTTTGAGATTCCGTTTTAATTCCTGGTACTTCATTAGTTTAAAATGTTATCTGGGAATAAGCCTCCTAAATATTTAAACAGCAGTTGTAGGCAGACACAAATGCTGTATACTATCTTTTATTCAGATCAACCAAAACACAAAACAGCATTTAAGCTTTTAAGTTCTCCAGAACTTTTCATTGGGCTGCACGTTAAACAACAACAAAACAAAAGAAAAACCAAGGGGAGAGGGGAAAAGGCCTGAAACATCCTCCCCACTTCCCGACAAATGAAGCTTTAACTCTTGAAAGCTTGTACCTTGAAAATCTGGTTGGTCTCTAAACTGCTACTGGACTCAAATCTTGTTCTCTTACTAAGGACCAACATGGCTATTCTCTGAAACTATGCCCCCTTTTTGCATTTTTAACATGTAAAATGATTAAGACTCCTGGAGAATTTTAAAGCTTGACCTCTATTTTGTGTTATTTTGGTGGGCCGTAATAACAGGTACTTAGCGGCTTTTCTTTTCCAATATCTAAATGGATGAACCATGTCATTTAGGAGCTTGCAGATTACCATACTGATCCTTTAACAAAGCCAACATGTTCCAGTGCTTCTCAGCATGACAGCTAAGATAAAATGTTGATCTGCATTATGACTTACAATGGAAATGCAGTACATACTGTGAGTGTTGGAAGGTGCAATGAGCTGAGTGAGGAGGTTGCTTATTCATGGCAGTGCCCAACTGCTTGGAAGGACACTGAGACCCAGAGGTGCAGGGCAAGCTTCCCCTTTATTCCACAGCTCCCCTGATGAGAATTCCACCTTGAGAACCAGCTTGCATCCTGGGAAAGTTCCCTTACTTTCTGTGGCTGAGCTCAGGGACTGGACCCTTGCCTAGTTGCAGGTTCCACCCCCCTCTCTTCCTGCCCATGACACATTCCCAAGGGAATCCAGGAGGCCACATCAGGGGAAGGCCTCGGCCTCTATGCCATTGTTGGCCCTCCAGAAGAACTGGTTGACCCCTCTATGAGGCAGGATGCTGGACTAGATGGACCACTGGTCTGATCCAGCAGGGTCCTTCTTATGTTCTTATGAAGGCCTCGACCTCTATGCCCTGTTGTTGGCCCTCCAGAGGAACTGGTTGGCCACTGTGTGAGACAGGATGCTGGACTAGATGGACCCTCACTGGTCTGATCCAGCAGGGCTCTTCTTATGTTCTTATGAAGGCCTCAACCTCTTATGCCCCGTTGTTGGCCCTCCAGAGGAACTGGTTGGCCACTGTGTGAGGCAGGATGCTGGCCTAGATGGACCACAGGTCTGATCCAGCAGGGCTCTTTTTATGTTCTTATGAAGGCCTCAGCCACTATGCCCTGTTGTTGGACCTCCAGAGGAACTGGCTGGCCATTGTGTGAGACAGGATGCTGGACTAGATGGACCACTGATCTGATCCAGCAGGGCTCTTCTTATGTTTTTATGAAGGCCTCAGCCTCTATGCCCTGTTGTTGGACCTCCATAGGAACTGGCTGGCCACTGTGTGATACAGGATGCTGGACTAGGTGGAGCACTGGTCTGATCCAGCAGGGCCCTTCTTAATCTCCTCCCCTCCCTGTACAGCTGTAAAGGTTCTCAGCCTGGGACCCAGCTGATCCCAGCCTGGCACACTTGAGCTATAGGCCTCTAAGGGCAGCTCCTGTGGGGGACTCCTTAGTCTTGGGCAGCTTTTCTCTGGGAAGGACTTCCGCTGGCCTTGCCCTTGGCCTTCTCTGGCCAGGCCTGCCACCCATACCCGTAAGCAAAATACTACATGAAGAGATTTATATGTCAAGCTGTACTCACCAAGACATTCTAGATATAAAACAGCCAAAGAACTGCTGGGCCAGGGCTTGAGCCAAACATCTCCTGGTCAGTGGGGTCTCATCTATTATCATTGCGCTGTGCAAAAGGTTTGTGCTAAATAATTTTAAAATACAAACACGCACAAATTACCATAGTGTATAAAATAAAAACAACAACAACTCCTACTCTTTGTGTTTAAGCAATCTACACAAAAGGTAACATTTTAGGAATCTTCAATCTCCACACAAAGTAACGTTTTTTGAAAAGTTAAACCTGGAATAATGTAAATGGCACCAATTTGTTTTGTATGCAGAAACCTCTGTGATGAGCCCCCCCCCGGAGAAAAGCAGGTATTACATAGTCTTTAAAATGTTAAAATCGGTAGCTTTTAAATGCTCTCAAATTAATTTTTCCAAATGCTTTTGTATGTCTTTCTTGCATGAAAAGCAACATTAAAGCACGTTGTACAAATCAGAGAGCCCTTTGCCTTACGTGGGGTCAAGTTCTGTGAATGTGGGTCCTCCGTCCCGCCCTCCCCCCCCGCGCTGCATTACAGGCTACTTCTGAAGTTGCAGTGAGTTCCACGTGGGTCTGAGCGTTGTTTCTGGAGTGACAGAGTCCGACTCTAAGCTCACCAACTTCCCTTGGGATTGTAGTCCTATACAACGGCTCACGTTTAGGACAACAGCTCTTTTGCTGGAGATACCAAGCTGCATGGAAAAACTCACACGTGGAGTTGGTGGTATGGAGCTTCCCCCACCTTCCCATGACAGCTCGGCTGTCATGATTATACCAGCCAAGTATTATGGGTTGGATCCTTGTGAACAAAATGTGCCGGAACACAGAGGTCTGCAGGGAGTAGAAGGAACTGGGTGAAATCACATCTACCCCAACTTCTGCCGGCAGCTTGCCCCAGGGATGGAGGAAGAGACGATTCCACCCAGTTCCCCCATTCTTACTGCAGCCCATTGTACTATGGTGTGTTTTGTTCAGAAGCATCCAACAACGAGAAAAGAGCAGACTGCTAGGGGAAAGGAAAGGTGGGAAGAGACCTGTACCACCAGCTCTGCCCATGAACTCTTCTGCAGGACACAACCTGTAATACTTGCCCAATTAGATGCTAAATAAAAGCCCTTTGAAGGTGATCTGTACAAGCATTGGGAATTCTCTAGGAAGCTACTGCGGAACCTTACTGGCTTAGATTCTATACACTGCTCTGTCCACTGCAGAGATGGTCCTCCACTAGGGAACATGTCCCTCTGGCTCTAAGCACTTCTTGGCTCATTGAAAGACACTGGACCTTGGTTGAATGGAAGTGCTTAGCGCCAGAGGAATACGTTCCACAGTGGATTAAGAGGAGAGCAAGCGGAAAGAAGGTTATAGCATCCACGCCTTTCCTTTCAGCAATGTTAAAAAACTAGTTTTTAGATATAAAATTTCTAAGCACCGACCTAAAAATGCTCATAGAGGCATAGGCAGCTACTTCAACATAGGCCTCATCTACAAAAACCGTTTTGAAGCAGGAATACGGGTAGCGACAGGTAAGTATCTCTTCGTAGAATTCAAAGACTTCATGGAGATACGAAGTGGTGTGTTTGAGCAGCGGGAGGAGCTGAGGTAAACAAAAATGTGTCACCTACAACAAAAAAGGAAACACGTGTAACTAACTCGGCATCTCTCAACATTTTAACATTGGAAACCTTAGAACTCTTGGGCTGTGTTCAGGTTTGTCCAACCCCCTTTTTTGCAACCAACTTCATGTCCCCTTCTGGGAAGAAAGGTGAGATGTAAATAATGCAATTAAAATGTAATAAAATTCTGCCCAAGAGAAATATCAAGAAAAGCAGTTTAGACTGTAATTTCACAATCACTGAAAGGGGCTGTCATACAGCTGGGAACAGAGTTGCCAGCCAGAAGGAGACTTGGGGGTGGGGGGGCAGATACATGGGGCTCACTGTTGCTTGATGGTAATTTCACAATCACTGAAAGGGGCTGTCACACAGCTGGGAACAGAGTTGCCAGCCAGAGGGAGACTTGGGGGGGAGGGAGGCAGAGACATGGGACTCACTGTTGCTTGATGTCATGATGTCATTTCTGGGGCAAATCTGGAAATGCCATCATGGCACTCTAGGATTCAGCAGAAACTCTATGGCAATCCTAAAGTGGTGTGACATCACTTCCGTGTTCACCCTGGGAATGATGTCATGCCATTGATGTGATGACAAATGTTTTAAACCACACACACACACACCGCCTACCAAGTGGTGGCTGGGGTTGGGGGGCTTGCCAGTGGGAACCCTAGCTGGGTACCATGAGATACTCTCTTAAAATTAAGGGCACCACTTGTTTTTAACTAACATCAGATATGTTCCTAACAGATAGAGGGGGATCCAGGATTAGTCTGCCTTGATTCAGCATTAGAACTGCCACATAAACAGTTCTGCCACTTATTTCAATGTTTTCCCATGATGATATTCAGTGAGCAGATTCAGGGAACTGGCAGACTGCTTTGAATCATTAAATACGGAGTGGTGCAAAACCCTGTCATAACAGAGCAAAACAAACCAACTACTTACACTGAGCTTCAGGCTAGGGTGGAATGAAGTTCTAAAATAAGGTATTGACAGAATCATAGTTTAAATGTAAATCATTCTTTCAGCTTCTATCGCTTCTTGTTGGTTTGCAAATGTTCTGAATTTTTCCCTGCATCAGTTACCATATCTTTTTAAGAAACAGTTTTAGTTAACCTTTCAATGAGCAGCAGCTGCTCAAAACTATGGTGCCTATGCCTAGACTGTCTATACCAGTGGTGGAGAACCTATGGCACGGGTGCCAGAGGTGGCACTCAGAGCCCTCTCTGTGGGCACACATGCCATCGCCCCAGCCAGGCCCAGACCATCATTAAAGTGTCGAATTCTCTGCCAAATAATTTTAAGTAAATGAAAGTATTTGGAATTGCTTTCCTGACTTGGTTTGGATCATCTTAAGTTAATGTATGAGTTGTTTTTTCTAAAGTAAAACCTCAGTATTCAGGTTAAATTGCCGTGTTGGCACTTTGGGATAAATAAGTGGGTTTTGGGTCGCAGTTTGGGCACTTGGTCTCTAAAAGGTTCGCCATCACTGGTCTATACATTTTCATCTCACCAAGGTGCTCAGTGCAACCTGGTTCTTTCCTCGCCTTATTCTGTCTTCACAATAACTCTGTTAAGGCAGGCTAGGCTGAGTGTGAGTGACTGGCCCGAAGTCACTCACTGAGCTTTAAGGCAGAGTGGGGATTTGAACCCGGGTCTCCCAGGTCCTAGTCCAACCCTCTGATGAGAGAGCCAGCGTGGTGTAGTTGTGTGGTGTAGCGGTTAAGAGTGGAGGAATCTAATCTGTATATCTGGGTTTGATTCCCCACTCTTCCACATAGAGCCAGCTGGGTGACCTTGAGCCGGTCACAGTTCTCCGAGAACCCTCTCAGCCCCACCTGCCTCACAAGGTGCCTATTGTGGAGAGGGGAAGGGAAGGTGATTGTGAGCCACTTTGAGACTCCTTAAGGTAGAGAAAAGCAGGGTATAAAAACCAACTCTTCTTCTTCTCCTGGTCATTATATCATACAGGTGGCTGTCTGTCGTCTCAAACTATGTAATTAAGTGTACTGTTTCATTCCCTTTCCCTGAGAGAATAAGTGCCCCATTTCCAAATTTCTGAAAAGGCGGTATAGGTTCAGTTACGTTCCAGCTTCAGGCTATACAACTGAGAGCAGGTAGCTACGGCCCCATACATTCAACTGTGTCTTTACCTGGTTACTGGTTTTCAAAAATCCAAGTTATTGAACAAGAACACATAAACACTGAAAATCAAAACAATACCCCATACAACAAGTATAGTTAACCTACAGAACTGGATTCTTGAGTTACAATGTAATGTAATACAGTTTAGCACAACCTCTTTAAAATCCATATGACTAATGTAACAGCATAATCCCAACCGTACTCCGCCTAAAAACACTATCCAAAATCCAATATAAAGGATACCACATCAAGTCAGGTGAAAAGCAGTACCTCGTGCATGTATGGGTCCACAAGAATTTCAAATGGTCCTATAGCCAAAGAAATATTAGAGGCTGCAGTCGGAATCATCAGCATATAGTGGAAGGTCTTTTTTCTCATGTCATGAGTGTACACTGTTTCTACCAGATCTCCATTTGAGACAGCCACCATTGTGGCATCGACTGTATACTCTAGTTTCCAGGTGCAAAGTTCGGAATATGAGTCGACACAAGGAAACCAAAACCTAGAGGGAAAATCAGAATGTCAATCACCAATGATCTTCCCAGCTCAAGACTACAGGCCTAACACTGGGATAACTTTAGCCCTCAATATACACCAAAGTTCACCGATTCGGGCAGCAAAAAAAGGCACGAGTGAGCTGATATGGATGGCTAGGTGTAACTTATCCTGCCCCGGGACTTTGCCACGAGTACAACCACATTCTGTCCATGCCCAAACACAAGAACCTGGCCTGAACAGAGTTTAATCCAGGGGTGGCCAAACTGCCACTTGGGAGCCACATGCGGCTCTTTCACACAGTCTAATTTAATGTTCATAAACATAAAATGTGCATATTTTTCAATAAAAACGTGTGTGTAATATTTGTTCATGTCTTGAGGCTCTCATACATCTGGCGTTTATTCTGTGTGGCTGATACGTTAAGCAAGTTTGGCCACCCCTTTTTTTAGTCTCAACAGGAGCCAGTTCTACAATATAGGAAAAAACAGCTGCTTTAGGATCCGTGCAAAATTTTCACATTATGGAAAAGTGCACAGCTTAACTTAAA